AAAAAATATCACAACAAACAAAATGATAAAACAATTGATTATAAAAACAAGTGACACATCAGTATTTGAACAATAAATACAAATTATTGAGTTGTATTTAAGACACAAATGCCTTCCTTAACCACCCGTCGATAGAGAGCGATATATTTGGCGGCGTTTTTAGTTCGCGGGACAATAAAATCTTTGCAGAATTGGGTTTTGCTATTCAATGATGGCTTCAGGTCTTTGACGCGAAGCATTCTGTCATCAGAAACCAGAAAAAGACATATAAATCAATGGCATTAAACTGATTGATATAAATTGAAAAAATGGCAAAACATCTATAAATATACCTCAAAAACGTGATGACAAATGAATAGCAATTATTGCTGTCCTCTGAATACTGATTGGGTTGCCATCGATCGAGTTGTGATGCGATTTGTAACGTGTAATCCCAATAGTCTTTCCACATGTTATCAATTTCGGTGACAATCGGAACGCTTAGACATTGATTCCACGACGAACTCCGGTTCGCCGACTGAAGACCGTATTTGTCAAACTCATAGACGTCTCCCTTCGAGTCCGTCAAACCAATGTGAAGATCAGCCGCATTCTGGTAGTGACTAAACACATCCATTCATTCACAATAAATTTAGAAAAATGTTTTAAAATTTAATTTATATATAATTATTTGAAAAATATTAAAAATAATTGTCAATAGAGTGGATGACATACTGCAAGAAGTCTCCATCGGTGGGCCTAATAATGACCGAACATTGAGTCCGTTTGGCACAAATGAAGGGAAATGGCACACAAAACGGTGGGATTTTTAACTCAATACAACTCATGGGAGAATCGCATTGCGGACAATAGTCGGGTAATTCGAGACAAAACACTTTGGACTTAGGGTTGCAGTGTTGGAAACACAGAATACCCGGGTCTACACTAGACATGGTCTCATCGATGGTCTCAGTGGTGCCAATGAGTTGTGTTCCTCCACTTTCACGACTTGTTGCCAGTGAAGAGCTGTTTGGGACCGACTCTCGCACTCTTATATCGTCAGGAGTTGTTGTTTGTGGTGTCGATAGGCTATTAGATTGCATATAAATTTTCAGTACAATTCAATGATTCCACGACGAACTCCGGTTCGCCGACTGAAGACCGTATTTGTCAAACTCATAGACGTCTCCCTTCGAGTCCGTCAAACCAATGTGAAGATCAGCCGCATTCTGGTAGTGACTAAACACATCCAGTCATTCACAATATAGTTATCAAAATGTTTTAAAATTTAATTTATATATAATTATTTGAAAAATATTAGAAATAATAGTCAATAGAGTGGATGACATACTGCAAGAAGTCTCCATCGGTGGGCCTAATAATGACCGAACATTGAGTCCGTTTGGCACAAATGAAGGGAAAGGGCACACAAAACGGTGGGATTTTTAACTCAATACAACTCATGGGAGAATCGCATTGCGGACAATAGTCGGGTAATTCGAGGCAAAACACTTTGGACTTAGGGTTGCAGTGTTGGAAACACAGAATACCCGGGTCTACACTAGACATGGTCTCATCGATGGTCTCAGTGGTGCCAATGAGTTGTGTTCCCACACTTTCACGACTTGTTGCCAGTGAAGAGCTGTTTGGGACCGACTCTCGCACTCTTATATCGTCAGGAGTTGTTGTTTGTGGTGTCGATAGGCTATTAGATTGCATATAAATTTTCAGTACAATTCATTTATTATCAAACATAAAACCGCACACAAAAAACTACTGCTAAATAATAGTTAATGAAAACAATAAACGTGTTAATTGAACCTAATTTCCAGACTTATCTAATAACACATATTTTAAGAAATGTTTGACTGAATTAATCACAAATCTTTTGAAAACATGAGGAGAGCGACCATTTGTGAGCGTATAATAAGTTTTAATAGTAAACACCGTAAGAAAAAGTAGACATTTCAGTCATTCTGCCAATGAATACATGGGAATAATATATAAGTCAAGCCCTCAATCGACTGACGACTGGCCCAACACTTAACAGGTATATCAGTATTACTGTACAAATATATAACTATTGCACAGGTATTCAGGCATTGCTATTATAATGCTTAAGCACTTCTCATTCCCTCTCTTCCACACAACTAATGGGAGGAATAGTTTGAAGTAAAAAGTATTTTAACTTATTTTCTATTTTGTTTATATAAATATATTGTTAGCCCTGAAGTCAATTCACTGTTTATAAGCAATGAATATAACAGTAAACGCGGAAGTATTACACAATAAATCTTCTTTTGGCCTCAATTTCTACTTTATTTTTCACCAATTTTTGTGTCACAACTTTATTTTGACTGAAAATTGCATTTTTTGTTTAGTACCAAATCAACATCAATTCCATCTCTCTCTCTCTCTCTCTCTCTCTTCAATTTCTTTCAAATTTCATTTAAATCAATTCTTATAAATCATTAAAACATTTCTATTTTTATTTAAAGAAAAATGTTTGCGAAACCCTTTTATAAAGAAATATGATATATTTTATTTGGAATTATATTGTATAAAAATTATATTAAACTTAAGTCTATTTAAACGTTATTTTAAAAACCGGCAACAAGTCAACAAATATAGGTAATTAAGGTGTAATTATAATTATGAACTGATTTTATTACTGCTATTTATTATTGCCTAATAAATAATTATTGTGTTTTTATATATAAAATATATAATTTATAAAGTAAAACAAATCACTATCGTTTCTCTCGATTTAAGGCATGTTTTAATAAATAAGAAATAATATCTTTAAAATTTCAGAATTTAAATATGGATTTTAGTTAAATTTCAAAAACTTTTATTTTAATCAATTTTAAATTTCTTTGCGTTATTTTATTTTTCTCGACTTTAAAAATAAAATCTATAAATGAATAACGAGTCTTCAAAGAGTACACCATTGGGTTAATCCTAATTATGTTGAAAATTAATATTAAAAATAGTATTTCTATATAAAAGATATGATGTTTTAGTAGTATCTGTGAATTGAAAGACCGCATAGAATAGTGTTGAAGTGATAGGCAATGATTGAGCCTCCAGTGGGTCACTAGATATTGAGGTCTTGATCTCAATTCATCCGTACATTAACTCTTCAAACTATGCTTTGATTGTATCGTACGGTAGCTTCAGGTATGGCTGTTAGAGATCGGGTTTGAACTTGAAATTTAAATTTAACTTAAAATTATAACTTATTATTGAAACTCAAAAAATAAAACAAAAGATAATTTTCTAATGATTTTATTACAAAATCGAGTTCTGGATATCAATCTAGTTATAAAGATTTATGTTGTAATTATGAAATACAAGTTAGGAAACAAATGTTTTAAATTGTGCCAAATTTTTAATTGTTGCAAACTATTTGGATTTTGTTATTATCTAGATAGAAAATCATTAGATTTTACATAAGTTATATGATTCACAATTGAATAAATAATATGTTTACTTCGGAATTAAAAAATTAAACCTAAATTTAATATCCATTTTCCATTTGTTGTATGAATTTTAACTTTGGTTTACAGTACAGTATTTATTAAGTAAATAAATTTATCTATAAATTATTTTACCAACAATAAATTTCTTAACAATTATTATCACAACTAATCAAAATGATTGTTATATTAGTTATAAGATAACTACATAGTTATAAGTCCAAAATATTTTATTATACTAATTTAACCAACATAATTAAATTTAATTTAATACTTCTTATAATTGTTCTGAAATTATGACAAACAATATGTAAATTAATGTAAATATTTACAACTCATTAAATTTTAACACAAATATTTTAGTATTATTATGAGAAGCACGAGTAGATACAAAATTATTAATGTATGCAAAAAACATTAATTATTATTTTGGAATCAACAGAATTTTGCAAAATAAATATTTTATACTTAAAGTTTATATTCCACCAAGCGCATATTGAAAATATGGCTTTAAACCTATCGTTACACATTTAATATTTGTATAAATTGTACCAAAAGTTATAATAATTTACAATCTCGTCAAATTTTCTACTGAAAGTCCTGTAACTACTAATAGTACATTAATACTGCAATAAAATTTTATTTTATTTGAAGTTTATATCAAAATTATTAAATTCATCAAAAGATATAATTTACTAGACTTTATACCTGTGTTGTTCATTGAAGTTGATTTGAAGTTCATTACCAATAAAGTTTATAACCTGTATATAAGAATAAAATTCATAATGTGAAAACACATTATCATTTAATTTTCTTTTCTATAAACATTCAATTCAAATATATTTTAAAACTAAATATAATTGAATTGTCAAAACTTAATATATTAAATGTGAATAAATTATAGTTAAATTAATTTTGATGTGAAAATGGATAGCAAACGACTCGCCGATCAAAAAGACAGAGCAATAGGTCTCAAAGAATTGAATTCTTCTGAAGTAAATAACGAGGAATCGAAAGACGACTGTTCGCAAAAAGATGGCAAATGTCGGGGCTTTTTATCCAAAATCCCTTTCACTGGCAAAGAATTGGTTATAATTATTCTGTTATGTTATGGAAACTTTTGTGTCGGAAGTGCCTATTCATTGTTGGCTCCATTCTTCCCAACAGAAGTATTTGTTTTTTCTTAACATTTGGTTTAACTCATCCATTCTCTCCACACAAACCCTTTCAACACTTATCGGTTCAACTAATAAGTCAATTCTCTATGCATTTAATGCCAGTAATTCTGGGGAACATGTGTTTTGTCGGAATAGACTCCCCGTTATTGCAGGGCTTAATATGCGAACCGCTGGTGTTTGTGCACAAATGCATTAAACGGACGGATGAGTTAAACCAAATTTTTGAAAGAATCGCTATATTATAGGCAGAAATGAAAGGCGCTAACGAAGTGTGGATCGGATTCATAATCGCTGAATACCAAATTGCATTGTTTTTGGGCGCCTCTGTATTCGGCAAATTTGTAATACCTTTTTTAAAATTTAATTACTAATTGATTTTGCATATCATGATTATTAATGCATTCTTCCATAGATTCCTCATTTAACACCAAAATACATGATTACAATCGGTTTATTTGTGGCCGGAATTTGTAGCGCTTTATTCGGGTATTGAATGATTGAAATGTTTATCTTATTAATTATATTTAATGCGATACTAATTATATGTATTAGAATTCTTCAATGGTCACCGGCAGGAACTACATTCATAGCCATAGGTATGACCACCCGAACCATTGAAGGCTTAGGTGTGGCCTCTTTTTTCGTCAGCTGCTGGACAATAGTTTGCCTTCAATTTCCAAACCATATCTCAAAACTTTTTGTTAGTATTAATTTATAAG